ATAAAAGTTACCATTCATAGACATTCTAAATATCCACTCTTTTTCTGTGTCACTACTTTGAAATCTTGATAACTCTTTAGTCCTGGTTCTCCGATTGTTCTTAAATTTGATGCCGTATCTTGATGAAATGTTTTTTGTAGGCTTTGCAGCTTTTGTCAAATCTTTTAGTAGGATCAAGGGAAAATGGCTCATAGTTATGCTTAACTATTATCAACAAGAGCATCTTGTTGATAATAGATAATTAGATTATATACTCAAATTTTAACCTCAGCTGCCAGATAACAGTAGTGAACATTAGCTGCTCTGCTATTGTAAGGTAATATTCAGAGATTATTATAGTCTGGATATTTGTGTTTCATTCTTAGACTTGTTCATTTAGCTTTAAGTCTAATTTCATCAGCTTATCAGTACATGATAGTGGTACCTGTCATACTTTGACTTCATTACCAGCCACCATAATAGGAAATATACACAAATAGTTCAAAAAGTGTGAAACATAATATATCTATTAACATAGCTGACATTTTCCAGCTTCACAGAATGAACTCCAAGATCAACAGATGAACACCAGGCTGCATGTATTTCATCGGACACCAAGAGTAAAACTGTCAGCTGTTGGAAAATAAAGCTTTTACTGGGCTTTATGTCTGCTTTCAGGACCATGAGGTAAACACCTGTAAAAAGAAGATGTGTAATTTTTCTCAAATCCCACTAATGTCCTTTTTTTTTGGGGGTGGGGGGGTATTTCCCTCAGATCTTCCGCAGAATTACATCCGTCAATGTCTGCGGATTCTCGTGACCAGATTGTCTCGCAGCAAGAGACGGAGTCCAACCATGAAGAACCAGAAGCAGTTTGGCCTAATGAGACACAGAAGAAACCAAAGTTTGCTCAGATTAAAGAGGAAGACAAGGAACTGTACGTCCGTCCAGATGACCAGCAGCTGGAAATAAAGCAAGAGATTGAGACTTATGTGGAAAATTCTTCAGAAGAGGAAACGGACGAGAGCGACGAGGACCAAAGTGGGAATGAACTCCTCTCTCAGAGTCCCGTTAAAGCTGAGTACCAGGACCCGGAGATCTGCGGTAAAAGTGTGCTGCACCGCTGCGACATCTGCGGGAAAGAGTTCAGGAAAAAAAACCATTTGACCGATCATAAGAGAACTCACACGGGTGAGAAACCCTTCCTGTGTGGGGTCTGCGGCAAATGCTTTGGCCGAAAATACGGACTGAACAGCCACATGAGAACTCACACGGGAGAGAAGTCGTATTCCTGCGACGCGTGCGGTAAAGCCTTCAGCGACAACGGTCAGCTCAACACTCACGTGAGAACTCACACGGGCGAGAGGCCGTACTCGTGCGAGTTCTGCAGTAAAAGTTTCAGTCAGAACGGCCATCTGAAGGATCACATGAGGATCCACATAGGAAAGAAGCCTTTCCGGTGCCGGCTCTGCGGCAAAACCTTCATGAGAAAAAACTGTCTGAAGTGTCACATGGTAACGCACACTGGCGAGAAGCCCCACAGATGCGAGCTGTGCGGCAAGTCTTACGGCGTCCGCGCCAATTTGACGGCTCACATGAAGACGCACACGGGCAACAGGCCTTTCACGTGTCTAACCTGCAAGAGAAGCTTCATTACGAAGTCTGCCTTGAATTGCCACATGAGCACCCACTCGGGTGAGAAGCCTTTTTCATGTCCCACCTGCGGGAAGAGTTTCAGAGAAAAAACCTTCATGACGGTCCACATGAAGACGCACACGGAGGAGAAGCCTTTCTTGTGTCCCATATGTGGGAAAAGGTTCAGTCAAAGAAGGTATCTGACCAAACACAAACGGGGTCACACAGACGACAAGCCGTACACCTGCGAAGTGTGCGCCAAAGGCTTTTGCCAGAGCTGTGATTTGAGGTCTCACATGAGAACTCACACTGGGGAGAAGCCTTTTCCATGTCTCACCTGTGGAAAACGTTTTGGTAAAAAGAGTAACTTAAACATCCACATGAGAACTCACACCGGTGAGAGGCCTTTTCCATGTCTCACATGTGGGAAATGTTTTCGAGAAAGAACGTCTTTGAACAGACACATGGAAACTCAACACCCCTGAAAAAGAGGCGGCTTGACTTCCATGTCTCTGTTGAGCCTAGCTTGATATTAATAAATCTCAGTCCAGCTTTAAAAAGCTTTTTTTCTGGATGACAGACTGACTAAAACCAGCTCTTTCCTCATATATGAATGTCACAAGATATGGCTTCACCTTGGTCAAAGAACATCATCAAAATTATTTTATTCAGTAATTTAATTTAAAAAGGAACTGTGTTGATTGTATAGATTAACTCAGATTGATTTATTTCAAGAGTTTTTATTCTGTTTTTGATGATCATGGCTGACAACTAACACAAACCAAACTACAAATTACCTCAGCATCAGAATATTACATAAGACCAATAAAAAAAGATCTTTGAGACAAATGTTGGTTTGCTAAACTGCACAGTGTAAATATTTTACTGTGGCTCCTTTTGCATGGATTACTGTCTATCATGCTGTGTGGTACAGAGGCAATGATCTTGCAGTTCTGCTGAGGTGTAAATGAAGCCCAGGTTGCTTTAAAAGTTGCTCTCAGTTCAGCCACATTATTGGATTGATTTCCCTTACTTTCCTCCTGATAATGCTCTCCATGGCCTTTAGATCGGGCCTGCTTTCTGGCTAATCAAGCTGGCATTGGCAGTGAAGTCCTGAAAAATGAAATTAGCATCATCATAAAGCTAGTCTGCTCCCTTTGCTCCTTTTTGTACCGTGCTTTTTTCTTCCACTTAACTTTCCATGAAAATTCCTGGATACATCACTCTGTGACTAGCCGGCTTCTTAAGCATGTACCTTTTGTTTCTTAACTCCCTTGTGCAGACTGTCTACGAGCGGCAGCTGGAAATTTGTAAAGTAAGAAGTCTTTCCTCTTATTATTTAGGTCATAAAAATGTTTAAAAACTTCTTTTTCAATCGGTTCATGTAAGCCATAAGTGAAATCAAAGAATCACAGAAATGACTGCTTGAAATATATCAATCTGAGTTTAATGGATCAAGTTTTACACTGAGTTCTTTTACTGAAACAACGTTTTTGATAATGTTCAAATTTGTTTCAAATCTCCTGTATAAATGTGTGATGTATGATGTATGACTCTGCATGTTCTCGCAATATTATGTTTTGCCTTCAAATAAAGGAGCAGCATATTTTGCAAATATTTTGGATAAAGAGGACAGATGGTCCCTTTGGTGTTTTTTTGGTTTTTTTTTCCCAAGCTGCATGTGAGGTGAGAAGTGTTTTAAATGAAATGACCAACAATAAACTAAACAATATCTGTTCTGTAAATCTCATTGTTTTATATAAATACGATCTTTTAAAAAAAGCAATCGTAATCAATAAGAAAACTAGCAGATTTTAACCTTGCGCTAAAAAAAACATTGTGTCTATGTACTTTTCATGATCAGAAAAACTTTGACAATAAACAAAAGCTTTTAATCATAAAATGTATTATCTTTTACAAAAAATATTCTTCAAAGGCTTCAGTCTTATATCTACCTACATACCCATCCAGCAATTACTGCAAATATATCCAAGTTTATTTTTGGTCTGATGGCACCCCTTGTGGTGACTTCTTGTTAAAACTATTCATGCTCTGAGGAGTTTTTGTTCAGTGTTTCTGCTTCGTGTGTCACTGTGGCTCCCGAGCGCAGTAATAAACAGTAGAATCTGCAGCTGTAAGGCTGTTCATCTGCAGATAAACTTGACTTCTGCTGTTGTCTCTGGAGATGGTGAACCGGCCTCTTACTGAGTCAGAGTAGTAGATGTAGGTGCTGGTGTCACTAATAGTAGCGACCCACTCCAGTCCTTTTCCAGCTGCCTGTCTGACCCAAGCATTCCAGTAATTGCCACCAAATCCAGAATATGTGCAGGTCAGTCTGTGGGAATCTCCAGGCCTTTTAACCACTGATTCAGACTCAGTCAGTGTTTGACCATCAATTCCTGCAGAAAAACAAGCCAATATTAATTCCCTTTGAAAGCAAGCTTTTAACTTGATTAAAAATATCTTGGTTCTTACCATTCCAGCTTAAAGACACAATAATAAAGGTAAGGACAACCTGAAATCTAAGCATTGTAAAAGCCATTTGCTGCTATGCATACGGTGTCTGCCACTCACTCACTCTGTGGCAGGTCTGTGCTAAACGAACAGATGTATAAAAGTGGAGGTGTTGGTATTTGCATTGTCTCCTCCTCCTGGTGAAGAAACAGATTCAAGTGATTCATGAATACAAATTTGGGTAATTATTTTAGATTATGTCCAGATATTTTAATATTTGAAGTCATTTTCAGATAAATCCCATCTGCTTGATTCCAATTGTAATTTTGAAAAACAGAAAATCATTTTATGAACTTTTCCTTAACAGAGTGTGTTACTCTAATATTGATACCTAATGTTCTGTGCAGATCTCTTTGTAAAGGTTTGTGGTTTTATTTGACACTTTTCCCTCACAAGACAGGTATGTCTTTGTTCGCTTTAATTTTAGAAAGTAATTCAACATGAAAAGGATCTGGTTAACAGTAAAACACTCACTGTACATTTCCTTCACGTTCAGTTAAATAAATCCATTTCAAGTCTCTTATCAATAATCAATAAACCTTTAAATGAAGGTCAATTCATCAGATTCTGGGTTTTCTAACCATTGGTTCAGGTGATATGGTGACATATGATGTATGTTCATGTTTTTTTTGTTTTTTTTATTCGAATCCACATTAAGTATTGATAAAGACACAGATTACTGAAATATTATTTATAACCTCTAAAAATGTATGATTAGAATTTTTTTTTTCTTGGTTAATTGCCATGTTGTCACAGTAAAATTTTAAACATAATTGTTTTAAGTTGAATTAATACTAAGGAAGCCAGAGATCCTCTCTTGTGGTTTGACAGCCTGTTCAGGGGTTTTTGTACGGCTCAGCTGCTTGTTTGTGTCACTGTGCCTGTCTGGCACAGTAATACACAGCAGAGTCTTCAGGCTGCATATTCTGTCCGTTCAGAGTTGCTGTTTTACTGGAGGAGTCTAAACTACCTCCAAATTTGTTTTTTAATGAATCTTTGAAATCTGTGTCTCTGCCAATCCACTCCAGTCCTTTCCCAGCAGGCTGTCTGATCCAAGCTGTGTAGTAGCTGCTCATAGAGTAAGAGACCTGACATCTGATGGTCAGACGTTGACCTGGCTGCAGAGTCACAGAGACTGGTTGGGTCAGCTGTTCACACTTCACACCTATGGGAGGAAACATTAGAACTGTTATCAGCAATAAATATTCAATTTAATGTGCTGAAGCTGTAAATGTTTCCGTCTCGGTGAGACTCACAGGAAGCAGCAGCCAGCAGCAGCAGAGCTACAGAGAACATGATGATGATGATCAGATGGGAGTTTCTGTTCTTCTGCAGCTGACAGCATCAGATCAGTTGTATAAAGTCTGACACTTCTGATTTGCATAATTACAAACCAACCATATCAGAAGCACGTGATAAAAAATGCTTTAAATATGATCAAGAATGGAAAGTATCCTTCAATTCATAATGGCAATTTAACATTAATTCTGTGATTGTATTACAAAGGGACAATATAAACATTAATGTAGTTTGGTGTTCCTGTGTTTATATGACTATGCATACTAATTCTAACTCACCTCTGAGTAAATTTTAATACATGGTAAATATATAAAGTATTTTTTTTTATTCGTTGCATTTTAAATGCAACTCTAGAAACTTTCCATATAAGTTCAGAATTAGATTGAGCTTTAATTGTAAAGTTGAACTGATAAGTGTTAAGTAAAAATACTAGTATGTAAAAACAGCTAAAAAAATATGCTTTGTAAATATGCATAAATATTGTGTTCTTTATGTTTTTTGGGGGTTTTCTTAGAAAGATCACAATAAGAAGGTTGTCAAATTCATGAAATTAGAAATGGTCTTGGAGCTCAAATACATAAAATAAAAAAAGAAAAGTACAGTTAGAGCTCAGCCTCTGGTGGTTTGATATAACCTGTTCAGGCTCTACTAGTTTTTGTACAGCTTTGCTGCTTGTTTACATCCCTGTGGGTCTCTTGCACAGTAATACACAGCAGAGTCTTCAGGCTGCATATTCTGTCCATTTAGAGTCACTGTTTTACTGGAAGTGTCTAAGTCGATACTGAATTTGTTCCTCAGTGAATCTTTGTAGCTAGAACCTCCAGCATTTTTCCACCCAATCCACTCCAGTCCTTTCCCTGCAGGCTGTCTGATCCAGTGTGTTGTATAGCTGCTCATAGAATAAGAGACCTGACATCTGATGGTCAGATGTTGACCTGGCTGCACAGTCTCAGCGGCTGGTTGTGTCAGCTGTTCAGATTTGACACCTGAGGAGAAACACATCGAAGCTGAATATTCAGAAAAAAAATATTCATATTAGTGTCATCATGCTGTAAATGCTTCAGTCTCAGTGAGACTCACAGGATGCAGCAGCCAGCAGCAGCAGCAGAGCTACAGAGAGCATGTTGGTGTAGAAGATGATCTGATGGGAGTTTCTCCTCCTCTGCAGCTGACCAAGATCAAGTCTATAAACCTGAACACTTTGTTTGCATGATAATAATCAGCCAATGAGTATATCGGCCAGTTATGACTGGTTAATATTTCTGTCCTTATAGCTAACATTAAGTGCTAGAATGCACAATGTTTGGGAAACATTTGACTTATTGTGATCCTCTTTCTTTTCTTAGTTGTTTTCCTTCTGAGTTTCATGAGAGATTAGGACACTGATCTAAATTGTGGTAAATTGGCCTGTCAGCATTTCCAACAATCAAAGCTGCACATTTTGGTCATTCAAGTTCATTACGTCTGTCTTTTAAATAATTTTATTTTTCATTATTATGGAAATTGTGTGACTACTTCTCTATTTCAAAGAAATGTGTCTGCCCAAGATCAAGAATTATTGATCCATAAAGAAATATAGAAATGTAGTATTTCTATATTTTCCTACATAGAAAGGAAAAAATACTTTGGAAATGTATCAGTGTCACTGAGCCACATGCAGGTTTTAAAAGAGTGACCTGCTTAATTGTATGTGTAGTACAACAGTTGTGTTCTTACAAATTGTTTTTAGCTACTGACATTTATTTTGACATTCTGAAAAACACACTAAGCTATTTCTGTGTATTTTTAAAGAGAAAACATTAAGTGATATCAAACATTGTACAGATAGGAATATTTTAAATTGATGCCTGTATTTTTTCATCAATTCTAAAAAAATAATGGAAAATATATTTCTAATGGATTTAAATCTTCTGAATATTCCCATAGTTATTTCTTCAGTGTGAAACTTCTGGCATAAGTTATGTTGGTTTTGATCAAGAACAGTGGTGTTATGGTTCCCCTGGTGGCTTCTTGAAAAAATTGTTAATTCTCAGAGGAGTTTTTGTTCAGTGTTTCTGCTTTCTGTGTCACTGTGGCTCCCGAGCGCAGTAATAAACAGCAGAATCTGCAGCTGTCAGGCTGTTCATCTGCAGATACACCTGACTTCTGCTGTTGTCTCTGGAGATGGTGAACCGGCCTCTTACTGAGTCAGAGTAGTAGATGCCGCCACTGTTCCACCAAATATAAGCGATCCATTCTGGTCCTTTTCCAGCTGCCTGTCTGATCCAAGCTATGTTAGGATCGCCACTAAACCCAGAATATGTGCAGGTCAGTCTGTGAGATTCTCCAGGCCTTTTAACCACTGATTCAGACTCAGTCAGTGTTTGACCATCAGAACCTGCAGAAAAACAGATAATTATCGATTGTCTCGCCACCATCTCTTTTCATCGATCACAGTGTAGGTTAGAAACATCTCTGTTCTTACCACTCCAGTTTCCAGACAAGATAATAACAGCAAGGAGAAACTTAAATCTAATCATTGTAGAAGCCATTTGTCTCTGTTCAAACTGTGTTCACCTCTAATTCACTGCTGCTCTTAAACTAACAGACATATAAAATTGGAGCAGTCAGTATTTGCATTGACTCCTCCTCCTGCGGAAGAAACACAAATAATTTGATCAATAAAAGCAAATTACGAGATTATTTCAAATTACTTTCAAACTTTTTGATATTTTAAATCATTTTCAAAGAATTTGATATGGATTCCTGTTTTACCAAAAGATATAAAGATTTACATCAGTTTTCACTTGATTCTACACAAACTGTCATGTTATTTTGGAATCATAATCAACATAGAACTTGAACACAAATTGTTTAAGGAATTACATTTAATCTCATCTTCTTGCTTTTGGAACCTTTTTCTAGATATATTTCAGTCTTTTATTGCCACATGATGTTCTATGCAGAAGCCTGCATTTTATTAAACACACTGCTTACTAAACATGTTTGTCTCGTTTTTCCTTGTGTTAAACATTAATCAGGTGACTCAGGGTCAGAGATGAAATCAATGATGGATTCCAGATAGATCTGGGAACCATAAATGTATTGGTATAGTTTGAGAAGTTTTAGAGTTTCGAATTTCTGCATGAATCCTCTGCATATTTAATGTCTACTGGCCTTCTTGTGTTGATTAAACCAAATAAGAAGAATATAAATTGAAAATGCACTATATCACTGTTAGTGACAAAAAAATGTTAGCAGCTGGAAAATAACTGGAATGGATCATTTATATCTGGTATAGCAGTGGTGGCATCTTCTACTCCAACTCAGTAAAAGGTCAGTTCACCATCTCCAATTTTTAAAACATATTTTTTTAGCAAACTGAATGTGTCTGACATATCACTTAGTGGAAGTTAAAACCCATTATTTATATAAAATTATGTTTTAAGTCAATGTCACCTTGAATGTTACATTTAAATATAGTTTCAATTTTCTGAATCAGAAATTCATTCATTTTCAATTTTGACTTTCGTTCACTTTAAATGTAAACAGGAGACAGAAACTATATTTCTGTTGTAGGTCTTTTTCTGCAATGTTTTTACGAAAGAGCAAAATAAGGTTGACAAAGTTTCCAAAGATGTAAAATGAACTGAAAGCTCCTCCTTTGGTGGTTTGATATCATCTGTTCATGTTCTGAGGGGTTTTTGTTTGGCTCTGCAGCTGGTTTGTGTCACTGTGAGTCTCTGGCACAGTAATACACAGCAGAGTCTCCAGGCTGCATATTCTGTCCATTCAGAGTCACTGTTTTACTGGAAGTGTCTAAGTCGATACTGAATTTGTTCCTCAGTGAATCTTTGTAGTTAGAGCCTCCAGTATATCTATAACCAATCCACTCCAGTCCTTTCCCTGCAGGCTGTCTGATCCAGTGTGTTGCATAGCCCAGAGAATAAGAGACCTGACATCTGATGGTCAGACGTTGACCTGGCTGCAGAGTCTCAGAGGCTGGTTGTGTCAGCTGTTCACACTTTATACCTGTAGAGAAACACATTAAAAGTGTATCGTTACCAACAACTAATTCACTTTACTGTCATCATGCTGTAAATGTTTCTGTCTCAGTGAGACTCACAGGATGCAGCAGCCAGCAGCAGCAGCAGCAGAGCTACAGAGAACATGATGATGATCTGATGGGAGTTTCTCCTCCTCTGCAGCTGACAGCATCAGATCAAGACTTTATAACATGATTCTTTTCATTTGCATAATATCAAACTAGCCCCACAAGAATCACACGATCAAAAAACGTTTTATGTGCTGTGGACCAGCATTAATAATATGTTTCCAATTATTTTGTCCTTAAATTAATTCTGTGATTTATTTACTTGAAATTCAGAATTTATGTGTAATGTTTAAATATCATGACTAAATTAAGTTTTTAACTAATGTATTTTAATATATTGGTTCATTCATTCTTTTGTCAAAGTGGAGTAATCATATAAATGTAACTAATTATTTTTTTTAAATAATGACTTTTGTACATGTTTCAATTCTTTATTTGTTTTTTTTCTTCTGATACTACTGTAATACTGTACAGCACTTCGGTCCAGTGAATATCAGTTTTTCAATGCTTTATAAATAAAATTGACATTAACATTTTTCTACACATCGAAAATCTGAAAACCGACTCAAACATTTATTCTGTTATTCAAAAATAGTTCCTTGAGAAGCACACCTCAATTTAACACTTCTGCCATAATTTCAAAGATCAAAACATTTATTTGTTACTTGTTAAAATCAGATAAATCCATTTACTCTTTTTCCCCCATGTTGTCTGAACTGGTTCACAAAACATCAAGAAAACAAAAACACACATTTTTCACAAGAAAATATGAGAGCTGCATCTATGCTTTAAAGCACATGACTAGGAAGAAAGACTCCATGCTCTTATCAGCAGCATCTAATCATAACGTAGGTTAAGCTACCAAAGAGGTGAGAGTGACAGTCATCTACGAAAAGTGGTGTTAGGGCTCCGCCTGTGGTGGCTTCTTGTTAAAACTACTCATGATTACAGGAGTTTTTGTTCAGTGTTTCTGCTTTCTGTGTCACTGTGGCTCTTCGAGCGCAGTAATAAACAGCAGAATCTGCAGCTGTCAGGCTGTTCATCTGCAGATAAACTTGACTTCTGCTGTTGTCTCTGGAGATGGTGAACCGGCCTTTTACTGAGTCAGAGTAGTACGTGCTGCTGCTCTCAGCCCACATAAAAGCGATCCATTCCAGACCTTTTCCAGCTGCCTGTCTGATCCAAGCCATAGCATAATGACCACCAAACCCAGAATATGTGCAGGTCAGTCTGTGAGATTCTCCAGGCCTTTTAACCACTGATTCAGACTGAGTCAGTGTTTGACCATCAGTTCCTGCAGAAAAAACATACCAATATTTCTTGTCTTGCCTCCATTTCTTTACATCAATCATGAAACTTTTCTTTTCTTACCGCTCCAGTGTAAGTACATAATAATAACAGCAAGGAAAACCTGAAATCTAATCATTGTAGAAGCCATTTGTCTCTCTTCATGCTGTGTTCACCACTAATTCATTGCTGCTCTTAAACTAACAGATATATAAAAATGTAGCAGACAGCATTTGCATTGACTCCTCCTCTTGAAGACGAAACACAAATCGTCTAATCAAAAACAGCAAAGTTGGACAATTACTTCAGATTAGTTTTAGATATGTTGATGTTGGAATTAATGTTTAAAAAATAGATATGGATTACTGTTTTTCCAAAACACATAAAGCTTCACAGCAGTTTTCACTTGTTTCTTCACAAACTGTCATATTAAGTTAAATTAGAAATCATAAATCAACAATGAAACTTGAACACAGATTGTTTATTGGATTTGCATTTAATCTGATATTTATGCTTTTGAAAGATTTTTGTGGATTTTTCACTCTTATGTTGTCACATGATGTTCTGTGCAAAACTTTTTGTAAAGTTTTTATTAAACACAATTTTCACTTTCTAAATATGTTTGTCTGTTTTTTTTTTTCTTATTTGCTTTACAAATTAAGGTGAGTTATAGTTAGATTTGAAATCAGTGCTGGATTCCAGATAGATCTGGGAACAGTAATGATATTGGTGTATTTTAGAAAAAAAAACAATATCTTAACAACATTGGGGTTAGAATAAGGTGCATATATCTCTGTATGTTTTATGTTTTCAGTCCTGCTTAAGTTGATTAAGCCAAATTGTAGGAATATAATATTTTCATTATATCATTGTTGATGACAAAAAATATTTTTTCAGCAAACTGAATGCTTCTGACAAACCTGTTAGTGGAAGTTGAAACACATTATTTATATAAAATTATGTTTTAAGTCAATGTCAACTTGAATGTTCTGTTATAAATGTAACAGTTCAAATTTTCTTAATCAGAATCAGCTTCATTCACCAACTCTGTGCTCACAAATGAGGATTTTTAATTAAACATATAAAAAGAGGAGACCATAACTATATTTTTGTTGTGGATCTATTTCTGCAATGTTTTTACAAAAGAGCAAAATAAGGTTGACAAAGTTTCCAGAGATGGAGAGAGGTGTTAGGGCTCCCCTGTGGTGACTTCTTGTTAAAACTATTCAAGCTCTGAGGAGTTTTTGTTCAGTGTTTCTGCTTTTTGTGTCACTGTGTCTCTCGAGCGCAGTAATAAACAGCAGAATCTGCAGCTGTCAGGCTGTTCATCTGCAGATACACCTGACTTCTGCTGTTGTCTCTGGAGATGGTGAACCGGCCTCTTACTGAGTCAGAGTAGTAGATGCCACCACTGCTGTACCAGATATAAGCGATCCATTCCGGTCCTTTTCCTGCTGCCTGTCTGATCCAGTGCATATGAGGATCACCAAGCCCAGAATATGTGCAGGTCAGTCTGTGAGATTCTCCAGGCCTTTTAACCACTGATTCAGACTCAGTCAGTGTTTGACCATCAGTTCCTGCAGAAAAACAGATAATTATTGATTGTCTCACCACCATCTCTTTTGATCAGTTATGAATTTGTTTAAAAAAACTAATCTTTTTTTCTCACCATTCCAGTTTAAAGACAAAATAAAGGCAAGGAAAACATGAAATGTAATCATTGTAGAAGCCATTTGTCTCTCTTCATACTGTGTTCACCACTAATTCACTGCTGCTCTTAAACTAACAGACATGTAAAAATGGACCATCTAGTATTTGCATTGACTCCTCCTCCTGAAGAAGTATCACAAATAATTTGATCAATAAAAGCAAATTTGGACAATTTTTTCAGATTATTTTCAAACATTTTGATATTTGAATTCATTTTCAAAAAATGTTTGTGGATTCCTGTTTTAACAAAACATATAAGGTTTTACATCAGTTGGCCTGACCCCAAAAGGCAGAAGGGTGTTAGAAAATCCCTGGATGGATGGATGGATCATTGTTGATGACAAAAATATATGCATTTTTATTAAAATGAATGTTTCTCTTAGTGGAAGTTGAAACACATTATTTATATAAAATTATGTTTTAAGTCAATGTCACCTTGGACTTTACATTATAAATATAAGTTTCAATTTTCTGAATCAGAAACAGCTTCATTCACCAACTCTGTGCTCACAAATGAGGATTTTCCCTTTTGTTCATTTTAAAAGTAAGCATATGAAAAGAGGAGACAAAAACTATATTTTTATTGCAAGGATCTTTTCTGCAATGTTTTTACAAAAGAGCAAAGTAAGGTAGACAAAGTTTCCAAAGATTATATATGAACTAAAAGTTCCTCCTTTGGTGGTTTGATATCATCTGTTCACTTTCTGAGGGGTTTTTGTTCGGCTCTGCAGCTGGTTTGTGTCACTGTGAGTCTCTGGCACAGTAATACACAGCAGAGTCTCCAGGCTGCATATTCTGTCCATTCAGAGTCACTGTGTTACTGGAAGTGTCTAAGTCAATACTGAATTTGTTCCTCAGTGAATCTTTGTAGGCAGAGCCTCCAGTATATTTCCACCCAATCCACTCCAGTCCTTTCCCAGCAGGCTGTCTGATCCAAGCTGTTGCATAGGTGGTCATAGAATAAGAGACCTGACATGTGATGGTCAGACGTTGACCTGACTGCACAGTCTCAGAGGCTGGTTGTGTCAACTGTTCACATTTTATACCTGGAGAGAAAAACATTAAAACCATATTGTTAATGAATTCAATTTACTGACATCATGCTGTAAATGTTTCTGTCTCAGTGAGACTCACAGGATGCAGCAGCCAGCAGCAGAGCTACAGAGAACATGATGATGATCTGATGGGAGTTTCTCCTCCTCTGCAACTGACAGCATCAGATCAAGACTTTATAACATGATTCTTTTCATTTGCATAATACCAAACCAGCCCCACTAGAATCACGGATAAGAAGACTTATGTGCCGTGGACCAGCATTAAGAAATAGCATGTCTATAATTACATTGTCCTTATTTTAATTTTGTGATTTATTTACTTGAAATTGAGAATTTCTATGTAAAGTTTAAATATATAAATATACTGGTTAAATAACATATTTAAATATAATTGATTTATTCTTTTGTCAGATTGGAACGATCATACAAAAATCACAAATTATTTTTAAAATAATGACTTTTGTGCATGTTTGATTTCATTATGTTTTTTTTCTAAACATTTTCAAAATTCAGCAAACAGATTCAAACATTTACATTCACTGTTAGCAGTCATTCAATATTAGTTCCTTAATGAGTTTAAAGATTTAAAGTCTTATTTATTACTTGTAAAAATGAGATAAATCCGTTTAGTCATTTCACCCCCATGTTGTATGACCTGGTTCACAAAACAGTAAGTAAACAAGGACACAATTTTTTTTTTTTTGCAAGAAAATATAACAGGTGCATCCACCTTTTACAGCACATGACTAGAAAAATGACTCCATGCTCTTATCAATAGCATCTAACATAGGTAAAGCTACCAGAGAGGTGAGAGTGACAGTCACCTATGAAAAGTGGTGTTAGGGCTCCCCCTGTGGTGGCTTCTTGTTAAAACTTTTCATGACGACAGGAGTTTTTGTTCAGTGTTTCTGCTTTCTGTGTCACTGTGTCTCCCGAGCGCAGTAATAAACAGCAGAATCTCCAGCTGTCAGGCTGTTCATCTGCAGATACACCTGACTTCTGCTGTTGTCTCTGGAGATGGTGAACCGGCCTCTTACTGAGTCAGAGTAGTACATGTAGCTGCTGTCATAGTAGATATAAGCGATCCATTCCAGTCCTTTTCCAGCCGCCTGTCTGATCCAAGCTATGTAAGGATTGCTACTAAACCCAGAATATGTGCAGGTCAGTCTGTGAGATTCTCCAGGCCTTTTAACCACTGATTCAGACTCAGTCAGTGTTTGACCATCAGTTCCTGCAGAAAAATAGATAATTATTGATTGTCTCACCACCATCTCCTTTTCATCAATCACAATGTTGGTTAAAAACATCTCTTTTCTTACCACACCAGTTTGCAGACAAGATGATAACAGCAAGGAGAAACTTAAATCTAATCATTGTAGAAGCCATTTGTCTCTGTTCTTACTGTGTTCACCACTAATTCACTGCTGCTCTTAAACTAACAGACATGTATAAATGGAGCATTCAGCATTTGCATTGACTCCTCCTCTTGAAGAAGAAACAGGATCCATTTGATCTATGAAAACAAAATTTAAGGTTGATTGCAGATTTTAAATATTTCTACATCAACTGTCATAATATTACATTATTTCTAAAACACAACTCAACTAATACAATTTGAACAGGAGTTGTTATACATATTTTATTTCTGACCCATTATGTAATTTGCATTTGTGGATGTATTTGTGGAAAGATCAAACAAGATATTTTCAGTTGAACCACATGATGAAAATGTGGGGAAACAGGAAATCATAAACTAGAACATGAACTGTTTTTAGCAGAGTGTGTTTAACTCCTGTATTGTCACCTTTTGATCTGTGCAGAACTTTTTTATTGTCATGTTAAACATTTTGTTCCTTTCCAATACATGTTTCTTTCTTTTTGCTTTGTATTACACAATAAAATTTGATGAGTAAGAGTTAGAAATCAAATCAAGAATGGCTGGATGAAATGTTTCACTCGTTCATTTGACATGTCAATGATCACTGAGCCTCTAAACTTCACATTCGGTCCTTCAGATTCTGATGGAGTTTTCAAGCATTGGTTCATATTTTCAGAAAACGACTAGTTATTACTAAAACGTATTATTTCAATAGGAAATTTTGAAACTGAAAAATGTCTTTAGTTGTCAAATTTAAATTCCTCTTGGTAATAGTTTAGCAAAAGAGGATTTTATAGTTTAGATTATTTTGGTAAATCATTTGACATATACTGATACTGAATTTGTTCCTCAGTGAAATTTTGTAGTAAGAACCTGCAGTATATTTCCACCCAATCCACTCCAGTCCTTTCCCAGCAGACTGTCTGATCCAAGTGTAGTAGCTGCCCAGATCATAAGAGACCTGACAGCTGATGGTCAGACGTTGACCTGGCTGCACAGCCTCGGAGTCTGGCTGTGTCAGCTGTTCACACTTCACACCTGGGGACAAACACAGTAAAACTCAGTTAACAACAATGGAGATTCATTTCAGTTTGTTCATCCATTAAATGTTTCTAACTCAGAGAGACTCACAGCATCCAGCAGCAGCAGCAGAGATACAGAGAACATGATGATGGTGTGATGGGAGTTTCTCTTCTCCTGACAGCAACAGATCAGGTTTTTAAAAGGACAAGGCTTAATTTGTATAATGACTGAACATGCTGTCAGAATGTTTGAAGTAAACATCAACTATTAATTTCAAGACCAAGTAGAGTAATCTTTTGCAATAAAGAAAAGAAAAACACATCATTTTAATGTCTTTTTTATTGTGTGCAAACCACTAGTTTCAGTCAAATGTAGAAATCAAAAACATTACAAGAATAAACGTTAATTTACATTAACTTTTATGTTTTAAGCAAAAGGGATTAGAAAGTCTCAGTTACACAAGACTGTATTTGTGTAATCTATAGGCAGAAACTCAATGTTCCATCATTTATATCCATTAAAGGAACTGAATGTTCCTTTATTAATGAATATTAATAATTATTATTAATATTCATTAATAAAGGAATATTTAGTTTTTGCCTATAGAGTTTTAGGACTTTTTGCTATAAGTAGTTTGCCTCTGAAAAAGATTACCTTTATAGTATTATTCACTGTGTAAAAGTAATTTACATTTTCATCTCTTTCGTTTTGAAAAACTGTTTTAGATTTTTTCTCTCTCTCTCTTTTGGAAGTAAATTTTTTCTTTATGTACTTACGAATATGCACTTGACCTACATGGAATATTTAACCTATATCTGAGTTAGTATGAGTTCTTGTTTTTAATTTAATAACCAACAAATACTGCATTTATAACCTACAATAATGCTTTTAAACATGAGACGATCTGAGTGGTTTAAGGTTTCCTCAACTGGTCCAGAAATGACTTTCAAACAAGTTCACAAAATGTTCTTTTCCTATAACATTAAGCTACATATACGGCAAATTAATTATATTTTTGTCACAGTAAGTAATGAAGAATTTTTTAAATAAATATTCAAATAATATGATAAAATTTGTGTTATAAACACGTTTGTATTTATGTCAAGGTTGTGGTCTTGGACAGATTTTTTTTTATCCATATGCAGTGAGACTTGACAAAACAGAAGATTTCAATGAGTGGTCTGCTTTATGACATGTTTATTACTACAATTGTGTTGTGCCTGCAGTATTTTCTTGTTGTTCTGCCATTGACTGTCATTCAAAAACAATTTCAAAGAGAAATCTAAGAAAATGTAAAGAAACAGTAACTATTCTATCAGTGAAAATACTTTCTTGTGTCTATTTTATCTTGAGTCTTAATTTATTCTGGTCATTAAATACCAATAAAAAAAACCTGAAAGAAAAATAATACATTTTAAAACGGTTTCAAAATTCTTTCTTCAGTGAGGAGTTTGTATATGTTGGTTGTGACAAATATGAGCGGTTTTCAGGCTCCACTTGTTGAAACTATTTATGCTCATTGTGTTTGTCTCTAATTTACTGCAGGTCTTGAACTCTCTCACAGACATGTAAAGGTGTTGTTTTGCATCAACTCCTCCCCCTGCTAAGACATTCAATTTTAATAACTCTCTTATATATGTTTTAAATTAAACACACTTTGATCAGATCAAACAAACACAATTCCTTCTCTTTAAACCACAAGTTGAGGAAAAGAAATAAAAGTAAAAATCATTCTTTACAGCGGGAGATCTCTGAATTTAGATTTGTAATATTATATGAAAATTTAGGTTTGTTTAAATGTTATGCTTATTTCATTCAGGTTTAGTAAGACTGAAATGCTGCATGATGAAGAGGACAGCAGAGGCTCAAGGGAAAATTTGACTCAAGGCAAAACTGACACCGAAAGCAACATCTACTGTATTTTTTCTCTCTTTTTTATAAACCATGCTGCAGGCAGTATTTGTAAAATACAGGTGTGGGCTATTTACAATTTTTTATATTCAGGTGTGCTCAATAGTCTGGAAATTATGCAAATAAAGAAAAAGTCCGTGTTAGAAGGCATTAGCTTTATCCTAATGTTTATGATATGAACTTTACACACTTTCTGCTGATTCATATTTTTATCACTTTGTTTGAGGCAAACAGCATTTTCTACAATGTCTAATTTCAGAACGTATTCTTTAATGTAATTCTCATATTGATTTTTTTTTAGTATTATTATTATTTTTCAATGAATGTCCTCATGTTTGATTCATAATATTTCACATAATTTCTCATTTAACCTGATTATAAATAGTCTTAGAGCGCCTCCTTCTGGTTGCTTCATGTAACCTATTCATGTCCTGAGGGGATTTCGTAAAGCTCTGCTGATTGTGCCACTGTGGGAAACCTGGCACAATACCAGTTTGTCATGTCAACAATATACGTTCAAAGCTTTTAGTCAAGCAGTATAATTATAAGGTGTAATGTTCAGATTTTACGTAGTTATTAACTGATAGCAACAAGTTAAAAGAAAAGAAAATTTTGAAAAAAAAAGTAAATGTAGATCAGAGTTGGACACACAATGTGCCAAAAAAACTTTATCTTCTACTGATTTCAATGTTGTTTGTAGTTTGCATTAAAATCTCAATATTTATCAAGTAATGTAAAGGTGGCACTTTTAATGCAACTTTTAAAGCACATTTGCATTGAACGTATCATTATTTACCTAATGAAACTTCATGACAACAGTCATAAACATTTATAAAGACTCTTTAATGTTCATGACAGATGTTACATCATGTTTATGACAGTGTCATGCCAGTTTTATGTACACTCCATCAAATAAAGTGTTACTTCATCTTTTTAGCACTCTTTTCTAATAATGATAATGAAAACATACCTTTTCATTTTCTTACTTCCTTAAGAAAATGAAACGGTATGTTGTTTTATAAGATAATGTATCTTTTAAAGTGCCAGCAGGGGCGCAACTACATTTAAGGTGGATGCGAAAACGTACCTTCCTTTCTCACAAGGAAGGTACGTCAGGGTGAAGAAGCGTATAAAACAGCTCGCTCTATAATGTTAGTGAGGATGAACACAGTCAGTTAAAAAAAACACCGCCATAAAATACTGGCAAGTTAAAAATAACTCGCCCTGAACTACCATGAAAGATATAATGTATGTAATATTCAATCAAGCTGCTCCTGTCCAATAAACGTGTATCATTAATGAAGAGGAAAAAATTCAATACAGACTTTAAGTAAGTTTAGGGTCTGGTTCGCAGAGTATGCAGTTAAATTTGTTTCACAATTATTAATTTTTAAGAAAACTAACCATTATCAAAACATTTGGAATTGTAATCATTTCTTTTTCTAAAAAACTAAAAGTTTTGTTTAAAAAACTTTTTTTTAAATTAAATAACTCATTTTTGTCTCGTGAACTTAAAAAGTTATTTGCCAAACATAAACTTTTATTTGCACTCATCAGAAATATTTTGTTGCGATTTTAGGCCCTGCCCACGACGTCATGTGAGAATCACAAGCAAAACTTTGAATCACAAACAAAAGCTTTGAATAGCAAGTAAAGATCTGTGACATGTGCAAAAAAAGTTTGTTTTACTAATAATTTTTTCACATCATAAAACAAAAATTTGTGAATGTAAATTAAATAAGTTTTTTAAGCCAAACCTTTTTTTTTGCTTAAATAAATGTTACACTAAAAATGTTTTGATCACAATTTTATTTAATTGAGGTTATTTAGTTTTTTATAGAATAATTGTGAAACAAATTGAACCCCAAAGCAGAGGTCTCATTTTCTCTGAAATTAATATTATGTTGTGCTACGAACTGAAAAACATATTGGTTTAAACACTAGAGCAAAGAAATGGTAGTGTGGTTTAATATCATGTTCTGATCATAATTTATTATGTTTTGATTTTTTCAGTTCAAAGAAAAAACAAAAAAGAAAGGATCTGCTAGCAGCAAAAGGTGGTGGATTGTTGACCACCACAGCTGTTATGTTTTTATTACGTTGAAACATAATAAAAACATATTATGTTTTAATAATCTGTTTTGTTAAAACAGATTATTAATGTTTTATTAAATGTTTTATTTATTTT